AGCTTTCATAGCGCCTGGTAGGTAGGCAACATCTCGTCTGCACTGCATGCGTGTAGTGCGGGGTGGCCTACCGTTAGACTCGCAGGCGTTTCAGCTCCCGTCATTTGTGGCCGAATGGATTCGAGAAAAACAGTCGTACTTTCTGATGGTTCATGAAGTGCGTTAGTTTTTTTATGCCGCTTAGCAGTTAGTCAGAGAGTTCCAGTCGATATAGAACAGAGTGAGGTAGCGAAGCAGGGTAAGAGAAATTACGACCGTGATACCTTTTATCCCCAACAATATATTTTCCGCGAGTTTTACGCAAAGGGTTGCTTTCAGTTTTCAGGTTGAAGGTGTGACGACAGAGACAATTGGGTTTAAGAGCAGCAAAACGAAAAGGGATGTGACATTCCACTCACGCGGTTTCATTCGCGACAAGGGTACATATTGCGAGTTCATAAAAATACTTTATCTTTCGTATAAGGGGAAAAGCCGGTTCTTTCCACCGACCGCCGCAAAACGGTCGCCGAAAAATCAGCGCAAACCTCAGGTTAACTGATTCTTTTTCTCCCTTCTCGAAGCCGACCGACAAATATAGACCTGGGGTTATATTTTGATTTTTCCCACTTGCAAGTGGCCATGGCGTTAAAGAAAAATAAAAGAGATGGTTGAAATATCTGAAGGTGTACCGCCGCGTTTGCTAGCGTTGGCGCCACGTTTGTTTTCAATGGGTGACGCCCGGTGGACCGGCGCGCCAAAGACATTCTCGTGAAGACGGCGATTAAATCTAACGTCAGCACCACCCTCCCCTCCCTCCCGCCCGCGCAGAGGCAAGCCGCACGAAGGCATTCATCGAAATATTTCGGGCGGAACAGAAAAAAAATGGGGAAAAAAGATGCGACGCCGATGAGGAATTCGCGAAAAATAAAAGATGAAGTAAGAAGTGAACGGACGGGGAAATTCCGAAATAGCATCCCGCGGCGCGTAGATCCAGAGACGCGGGAAAAGACGCCACCAACAGATTTTTTTAGTCACATCGAATACAAAAAGAGCCAACTTTCAAACTGTTTAAAAGCCGATACGAGAGCGAAGCTGCAGAGGTGCACCGGAGGCAGCTCGGATGGAAGTGCCTGACGCCTGCTCGCCCGCCAGCCCCACCTGCCTGGCAGCTGCACCCGCTGGCTTGCGGTACGGGGGCGGGTGCGCCTGGACGCCCTCCCCTCCCCCGACGGCTAAAGTTACGCGAGATGCGCGTTCGTAGGGAGGGGGGAAAGGGGGGGCCTTTTAACGGCGTACCCTCTCTATCCCCTGTTGTGCCCCCCCACGGGCCCCTCCGCGGGCCCCCCGGCGGACTCGGAGTCCCCCTCCGGACCCCCTCTCGCCCGTCCTCAGCGCTATCGATCGAAGAGGGGGCAGGGGCGGGGGCAGGGGGGCGCAAGTCAGATGGGGAGAAGGGGGGTTCGGGCACCAGGAGGTGGGGATGGGGAGGGACAGGGCAATTCAGTGCTGATTTCGGAAGTCGGCAGCTCTTATCATGAGGGGGACGGAATGCCGCTGGTGAGCGCCGAGCGGAGCCGAAGGGCTTCCGCAGAGGTGTATTTCCCCACCACCATGAGTGATGATTCGGAAATCGGTTATGCCAAATGCAAAGCCGCAGCCTCCGAGGCGAAGGGGCACGCCGTACATAGAACACACACTAACTCGGCGAGCGCTGCGCGGAGGAGGTCGCGGTGCGCGATCGTGCGTCGTGTAGGTCAGCCTCGGAGCCCAAACCTGATTCCGGCCAGGGTATATAGTCGTCCCAGACAAACTTCTCGATTGGGCGGCCGTTACGGTGCAGCCTTTCTAAACGCTGCAGAAGAGCTAGGATGGCTCTGTTTGCGCCAAAAGTTGCGTCTTATACAGGCCTAAGACGTCACCAAGTCTTAGGCTTCTAGCTCAAAAACTGACCGAGATATGGGCTAAAGACGCGTCGCCTCAGTCGAGAAGTTTGGCTGGGACGACTATACAGGAAACCCCTCTTCTCGGCGGATCCTGGCACGGCCCGGCTAAGGCCCTATCGACGGCCTGCACGCGGAGCAGTGCTGGGCTTGGCGGTGGGCGCCACCGCGAGCCGGACGGCAGACGCACCGTAGCGGTCGGGCCTGTCGGGCCGGGTTAGGCTGCACGAGACACACAACAATGCGGATGCGGGGACAGGGGGGCTGGGCTGGACCAAGCTGGAGGCTGGGTGGGCGGGCCCGGCCTGTACGCGTAGGAGGTCTGATACAATGGTGACGCCGGCTGGACAGCCTTTCGGCCCGGATGAGGCTGCACGAGACAAAACAATGCGAATAAGAGGGCAGGGAGGCTAGGCTGGACCAGCCAGAGAGGCTACATGTAGATGCCCGTGGGTCCGTTACCATGGTGACACTGACTCTAGCCCGTTGGGCAGGATTAGGAAGCACGAAACACAACATTGCGGAGCAGGGATGCTGAGCTGGACCAAGCAGGGATGCTGAGCTGGACCAGCCGGGGTAGGCTGACGTGGCGGAGGCCCGGAGCGTAGGAGGCCCGCAGTTCCGTTACCATGGTGACGCCGGCTGTGCAGCTCGCTGCAGCGCGATGCTCCTCTAGTCCGTGTGCTGATCGCCGCCGCGGCCCGGGTGCGTCTGGTGTCCCGCCTGGTCGCGCCGACGGGGTATGGGCACTGAGTGGGGTCGGCGCGGGACGCCGGGACCGCGTGAGGGGGCCTGCGGGCCTGCCGGGCCTCCCGGGCCGCCCCGTCACCCCCGCCCCCGCGGGCCCCGAGGCATCCAGACGCCGGGCGGCGCGGGCCGGGCCGGCATGGGGACGGGGTGAGGAGGAAATTTCGCCCGTCGGAATAGCGACCACCACCGCCACCGCCACTACCACCACTGCGGTCTGCTATGAGTTTTCGAGGGGGAACCGATATACAGCCGCTTACTCCTCGGCGCTGCTGCATCTTTATCCCCCTCTTCTCTTTCTCTCTCTCTCTTTCTCTCCCTCCCCGTCGCAGGTGCGGCGCGGTTGTGTTCGGGGAGAGGGGTTGGTGGAGTGTATCCCTCGCGGTGTGTCCCGTCTGCCTGAACTCGCCAAGGTACTCGCGCAGACATGCAAGAGGCACATAATTGATCTACGGCCACGTGCCACGTATCCAAAAAGAAAAGAAACAGAAACAACGAGGTTAGTTGGATGGGGACGGGGCATTTTGCATATAAATGGGAAAAAGGGACCCCGAAATAAAAAAAGAGGAAAAGTCGGATGAAACATTTAGCACTGCATTGAGACCGCGCGCATTTCACGTCGTTTCGTAAATGTTAAGTACATTTTGTGCAGCGCGGAGAAAAAAGAGCGAGCGGGAAAGGGGGTGTGAAGGATGAAAAGAGGGATGGAGTGGAGCAGGGGAAGGAGG